GGCGGCGCTTCCGTGTCCCACGTGTCCCGCCCTGGCCGCCGGACGGGATCCGCGCTGCGCTCCCGGGGCTCTTGTCTGCTAACGTAGAATGTTTCAAAAGTTGGGATGCTTCAAAAGGTTTGGGTCGGCAGAACCACTGCCGTGGGTTTCCGGAGGGCGGACTGGGCTTGTGCGGGACGCTGGGTGAGAGAGCCCCTTGGGGAGACAGCCCTGAAGGGCAGGGGGGTGCAGGAAGGCTCAGGAGCAGGCTGTCTCCACGTGTCGTAAGACGAACCGACCGGGCTGAACTGGGAGGTTTCGTGGGAACTTGGGAAAAAAAAAAGAGAGTTTACCCCCTTTGGAAGAAGGGGCAGGCACCTCAAGAAGAGTGCAGAGATCTACTCAGGTCATACAGAGGGAGCATCAGAAAAGCAAAAGTCCAGCTAGAGCTCAGCCTGGTCACTGTTGTAAGAAATAATAAAGATTTTTGCAAATATAATAACAATGAAAAGAGACAAGGAGAATCTCCACCCTTATTGGATGCAGGGGAGGAACATTGCCGCTAAGGATGAGGAAAAGTCTGAGGTATTTAATGCCTTCTTTAACTCCGTCTTCAATAGTCAGACCAATTATCCTCAGGGTATTCAGCCCCCTGAGTTGAGACAGGGACAGAGAGTAGGACGAACCCTCTGTAATCCAGGAGGGAGCAGTTAAGGATCTGCTATGCTAGCTGGACATTCACAGGTCTATAGGGTTGGTTGGGATCCACCTGAGAGTGCTGAGGGAGCTGGTGGAGAATCTTGTCAAGGCACTCCATGATTTATCAGCAGTCCTGGTTAATAGGGGAGGTCTTGGATGACTGGGGGCTTGCTAGTGTGACCCCCATCTACAAGAAGGGCTGGAAGGTGAATCTGGGGCCTGGCACTACAGGCCTGGCAGCTTGACCTTGTGCTGGGGAATATTGTGGAATGGCTCATTCTGAGTGCACTCACGTGGCATGTGCAGGACAACCAGGGGCTCAGGCCCAGCCAGAATGGGTTCATAAAAGGCAGGTCCTGCTGGAAAGCTGCCAGGCAATAAAGGACCTGGGGCTGCTGGTGGAGAGCTGGCTGAACATAAGCCAGCAGTGTGCCCAGGTGGCCAAAAAAGCCAACAGTGTCCTGGCTGTTGTGTGGCCAGCAGGACTAGGGAAGCGATCGTCCTCCTGTATGCGGCACTGGCGAGGCCACAGCTTGAGTACTGTGTTCAGTTTTGGGCACCACAGTGTAAGGACAGTGAGGTGCTGAAGTGGGTCCAGAGAAGGGCAACGCAGCTGGGGAAAGGTCTGGGGAACAAAAATGTCTTATCAGGAGCAGCTGAGGGAACTGGGGTTGTTTAGTCTGGAGAAGAGGAGGTTGAGAGGAGACCTTATTGCTCTACAACTACCTGAAAGGATGTTGTAGTGAAGTGGGTGTTGGTTTCATCTTCCAGGTAACGAGCAATAGGACAAGAGGAAATGGTTTATTTGTTCAAAGAGTAGTGAGGCATTGGAACAGGCTGCCCAGGGAGTCACTATTCCTGGAGGTGTTTAGAAGATGTATGGACATGTACTTCAGGACACGGTTTAGTGGTCATGGTAGTGTTGGGTTGATGTTTGGACTTGATGATCTTAGAGGTCTTTTCCAACCTTTATGATTCTATAAATGCAACTGAAACTCACTGCTTCCCTAGTTATGGAATTCATTACAAGTCAAGGGAAAATAATCCAAAACAGGCGTAAATCTTACACAGGTAGAGGGTGGTGTAATTTGTACTTTTTGGATGGCCACAGTATTGCAACAGTTAGAAAACATGGAGTTTTTTCCATTCAAGTTAACTTTATGTGAAAAATACTTGTTTGTTTGTTTGCTTTTGTGATGTGTAAGAACGCTGATACTTGACCCTTATGATTCCTGACTTTCTATTTATTACTTGGAACAGCGGGTGCTGTTGGAGCAGCTTTTGCATAGCAAGAAAATGTTATCTGAATATTGTTTTAAAAATGGGTAACCCGAACTAGGTAGCAAGATGAAAATAAATAACCAAGTAAACAATGAAAATAAGTAAACGGAGAAAATAAATAAACAGACCTAAGAGCAGCTGCTGGTCCTGAGGTTTGGTGAGGAAGAGGTCCTGCTAAATGTTGGTATTTGCTTTATTCTGGTCATAGCGTTTAGTCCCCAGTTGTGGATTGAGGAATGGTGTATTAATTTTTGTGAGGGA